TGCTGTATAACACTTACAAAAAAATATTTCCTTTCGAAAACACCAAACATCTGTTGCGGACAGCCGTCTTGACTCACGAAAAATTTTCGGAGAAAATTTATTCGGTCCCAGAAAGAGTAAATTACATAAAATATTGTCAGCGCCAACTGCTCAGGGGAAAGTTCCGCAACAACACAGCTGATTGAGATACAGACGCTGCGCTTTGATACGAAAAAAGTTTAACGTTACGTTATATTTAACCTCGATTTTCAAATCAGTAATTAATAAAAAAACATGAAAGCATCACTGCTTTGAATTGTCCAACGCAATAGACCTTATAATAGAGGTCTAGTTTGGTTTTTAAAAGCTTAATGTCAGTAACGGCGCATTCCCAAATATTCATCAATAAAGGATTTTCATTTATGACTTCTTCGCTATGTTGTATTTACCTGAATTGTCCCTTTTCCTGACATCAAAATTTATTTATACTTAATCATCTAGACCAAAAAATAAGTCTCTAACATTCCGTGCTCTGTGCACAAAAAGAATTTATATTCTCTTTGAGAAAAATACACAAATCCGTTTTAGTAGATAGGTTTCGATTGTGTCGCAGTCGACACTTTGCTTTTGGAAGTTTGCTACAAGTTTCTTTTTATTTCTACCGACAACAGATATTTAATTTAAAAGTTAAATGAGTTTTATTTTGATTATTTTATTGTGTTCAACTGTTGTTTGTTAAAACAATTTATTTTAAAATACAAAACAATTTTTCAATATTTATAGAACAAAAGACTGCAACGAACTCTATCAATGTGTTTCCAACATATTTCCTTCAATATATTAACAATATCTTTTGAAATCAAAACGAAGCACTGTGAGAGAAACGTCTTTGTGAACTCAATGGAACATCACTTTGTTTCAAAGTAACTAACAATGGCGGCATCAGGTAGACACAGCAACCTACCCAGATGTGTGCTGACACGCAATAATGATCCTTATACCATAGTAATAGTTGACATATTGAAGCAAACGTAATTTTGTATTGTAAGAAACTGTCTCCATTTTCAACAGTGAAACTTCCATTTACTTGCGACTACTTAGCTACATTACTCATAAGTCGATTGCGTATCTATACTAGAAGGTAAAGTTTAAATTGTTTTAGGTAAAAAGGGTATTAAACTACCTATTGGTTAAACTTTTATTAAAAAGGCAAAATATAACAGTGTCTAATAAAGTATCAGAAAATTATAAGGACATATAAAAATGAATGATACAAATTAAATTAAATTTAACTTATATTGATCCGATAGACCGTCGCTGGCTCAGAGGTTCAAGCACTTGTATTGTAATCTGCAGGGCCTGGGTCCGAATCCTGCCATGCACCAATGTGTTTTCCGATGTTCGATTTACATATGTACATTTGTCTAACTTTCCAAGAAAACATCGTGATGCAATATGCACATAACTGACATTCGAAGATATGTGTGAAGTCAACCAACCCGCACAGGCCTTGATTATGGCCTAGTCACCCTTAACTTAGGTTAGGCTTCGAGCCCCTCGGTGGGGACGAATAGCTTGCTGATGATGATGATGATATTAATTCAAGCAAACTCACATAAATTCTGTAAAATTGAAATTTATCAATAATTTTGATAACGATTTTTTTTTATTTATTAGACGACTAACCAGGCTTTGTTCACTGCTCATAGCTGCTGTTTTTGTCTAATGTACGAAGGTTTTTTTTTCATTTTTATGAGATAGTATATCAAAATATTATTTTGTATTTTTTATTAAAAGTGTTACATGTTATGTAAATGATAAAAAACTGCCCTATTTTTTTGTGATATGAATATTCATCCATATTTTTTATAATAAAGCTTGCGTAAAAAAGCGGGCTCAGTATAAAATGGCAAGTAATTACACACAACGCTCAGAGGGGAAAACAAAACTCGTGTGACAATGCACATAGGGGGTGGGCAGGGAACAAAAGTTTTTTGTTTTACTTTAATATTTCACTCCTGTCGGCGGTAAGAGATTCTGTATGATTAAAATGCTCTTTTTCGCAATAATACCATGGTTTTCTTTGTGACTGCATTTTCTTAGTAATGAAAATTGTTCATTTATATCATGGCTTTTTACTTACATAGTACTTGTATTTTCTATAAAGAAAAAGCGCAATGGGCGAATGTGAATTTTACATGAATCCACTTGCGAACAATTGTGACCTAATTGTGCAACTCGTGGGCTTTTTTAATTCGAGATTCCTTTTGAATTCGGTACGAGAATTGTTTATTTATTGATTCCCGTGCCTTAATAATTACTTTTGATAACTCATATATTCTACTGCACAATCGAAAATATATCAATGAACTTATATAACATTTGTTAATGACTAAACGCTGGTTGTCCGAGATCAAAATCTCTGTACAAAACATATCGCCATCCCTTTCATTATCTTTGACAAAACAGAGATAACAATATGTTTCAAACGGGGATTTTGGTCTCAAAAACCCAACGTAAATTAAGGACATTTCTCCGTTACTTTCTTTTGAAAATATAAAACCAGAGAAATCTTTTTTAACACTGTTAAACAAATACTATTACAATTTTCACAACCATATAAACCAAATCCAGCCGAGAAATCTTACACAGCAATTCGTTTTCGCTAGTGACATTGTATCAAATACCAATTTATATCAAAACATGTGTAATCGTTTTGTAAGCAATTAGCTTTCCGATCAGTAAATTAATTTGCTGACTAATGGAGCACTAAGTGCAGGAATAAATCTATTTGTTAATCAGGGGCAGTAATATCTTGCGCGTCAGGAGCTCGCAGCAAAGACTCGGCGCTAATCTTTGAGCAGGTAATGGCGTGGAATGGGAGCAAACGCTGCGGCTTCGGGTAAACGGGCGGTGAGGTAACACGGACACTGAACTAATGTGAAGAAAATTAGATGTACTAGATTAACCTTTGTTTTCTGAGATAAAACTATCTATCATTCCTGTTATTATTATATATTTAACGAAACAGAGATAATATGTTTTAATCGGTGATTTTGGTCTTTTGAAAAAAGAGCTTTACAGGAATTTTAAAATTAGCACCTTTATAATTAGAATTAAGTATATTTTAAACATAAATAAATTTGTTTAATTCACTTATTTAATTAAGATTAATCTATTCTCTTGTTAGTGTGTGTTAACCTTTAAAATGTGGGTTGACAGGACCTAATTAACGATCGGGTCGGGAAACGAAGCGAAATTGATTCAACTGGAGTCATTTCATACGCCAACTCAATTGTGTCCACCCTTTAGTCTTACCTCCTCTCCTCACTCCCACCTTTAACATTTACTAACACTTTGAATTTTAAAAGGAAATTTTACAAGAAGCTACTTAGTTAAAATATTATCTAAAGTTGAATCGTAATTCTGATTACTTATTATAGGATTCAAGAAATCGTAGATATAATTTATATGTCATTTTAAAAAACTAAAATTTAATTTAATTTAATTTAACGTCGTTTTATAGAATTATTTAATAATAGTTTTCAAATATTTTAAAGAGGCAATATGCCATCAATATTAGATGTGTAGATTTATATTGAAAAATAACGGCTATAAAAGTTCAAACAATTTTAATCGTAGCAAGCTGTACGGTTCTCCGACAATATGCGCATGACAGCATTGATTAAACGTAAAAATTGATTGTACGGTATAAAAAATTCATCGGAATTTATCATGAAATGTAAATAAAAACTCACCTCGTCGGGCGCGCTGATTAATTGGAAAAGCAAACGCTACGTGCATCCGCAATAAATATGACAACAGCCGATACAACTACTCGACCAATAACAGTGAATCAATAATGCTCGCTATTGAAGTATCATTAAAAAGGTAAATAGTTTGGAAAGATTGCCATCATGTGGCACAGCACTATAGCAACACACAGTTCCTGTCTCATAGAAAATTTGCAATTGTAGTTGAATTGCTTTAATCGAGGGAGAAGGGGCACACAGAAGAGGATATTTCCCCTACCTGTGCGTCTTCTTTTCTGTGAAATCCCGTTCCTACAAGAAAAGTGACTGGAGATAATGAGGATTTATCGAAATTCGCTCAACTTTCTCGATGTGGAGACGGCACAAGTATAAGTCTTCCAAATCGATCGACAATCGATATTTCCAATACGTATCAGCCCCATCAAATGAGCCACGGTAGCTTAATTATGAAATTAGTAATTATTGCCGACCGTCTGTTTACTCTACTCGTATTGCTGATTATTGATTCAATTAATTTACATTCATTTGTCATCATTTTCGAGGCTCGTGCATAATTTCGTTTAAATGTCTGGACATCGAATTTATTTGTACAGGTACTTTGTAACTTGATTAATGATTGAGCTAGTCGATTCAAAATAATACGCATTAGGCGTTGGTCATAACAAACTAATTTATTTATCTAATAATTTAACTTTACCAAAGGACATCCAAAAGTTTAATTAAAAACTAATAAACCAAAAATATTATTTTAGTTTAAATGTAAAATAAACTTAAAGTTTTTAAATGGAGGTCAGCATTATATGTAAGTAACTGGTTAGATAGCTTCTGTTAGTGCAACGTAAAAGGCAATCTCATCAAAATGTCGCCGGACACGAGTCGAGTCTTCTATTTTTCTTCGCTCGCAGCTTATTCAAGCCGGAAAATTGAGTTAGCCGACCGCTTAATGCCGCGGACAAACAGGTTCGCTCTCACGTACTTCGCTTGACTTTTCTTCGTTCCGCCACCGACATTGTCTTTTCACTTTACACAATCGATGTAAATTGAATTCTTTTATTTCCGAATCTTATCTATTTGTGTAAAATATATGTGTAATACTGTTTTCGTAAAAATTGTGTAGTATTTTCCACACATTTCTTTAAGAAAACCTTTGAATCAATAGTTTCATTATTTTAAATAAAACTACGAATGAGTGGTTTATAAGTCTATCATTAAATATACGTTTTAAAAGATACTTTTTGAATCCTAAATTATTTATTTTAAAGTATTAGTTGTGAAACAGGTTTGCTGGGCTATAGAGCGGACCGAAGTGGGGTCCATGACTATCACATTTGGGATCCTTCCAAGCCCAAAGGTTAACAGATTCAATGGTCTCACAGCTACACAGCGGATTTCTGTAAAATAAAAACAGAATCACTGCATTTAAACAACGCCATAAATTTCAAGTCCATCACGCTACCACAAGGGTCTAAAGTCAAAATATTGTATTTGATTTAATCTATCATGATCGTAATGGTATATACTTCTGAGTGATCCTGTAGAAAGCACGTCGCTGTATATGCGTCACTTTATCTCCGACGTCGCACAGCAGCCGCGCCACCGTGGCCTTCCTTATCTCCAACAGTTGTTCTGGATAAATAAAAAACATGAGTTTCTTCAGTAAACAAATGTACAGACATTTTGTTGATGAAATCATGTATTCTTGTACCATCGTCTAAGTAAATCCAATTCCAGCGATAAACCAAGTTCGCAATGCTTACATTTATGCTAATAAATTAAAATCTGTACATTTTATTGTCTTCTTGTTAATTTACACAAATTGTGTTTTAAAATCTTCTTTATGACTTACCGTAGGTGAATGCGTTTGGCCTATTAGGTCTCTCGTACCAATGCCTGTCCGATGTGATAACCCTCAGTAGCTGCTCCACCACAACACAGTACACAGTGGGGGGCACGTGGCCACCAGGGATCAGCTTCTCCAGCCAAATGCCAGCAATAAGGTCAATGTCTTCTATATTCTCGTAAACCTGTCTAAGTAACTCCGCTCTCTGAAAAAAATATACACATCTGCTTATTACATGTCTTCTGGAGTAGGAGTGACCAGTCTTTTGAGTAGACGAGTGTAGACCGGCCCAAAAAACTGAAACCATTAATAGTGATTCATCAAGAAGGCTGATGAGTCATAAAATTCTCACACTATAGACTAAAATTTGAGTATTCAGAACATACTTCTGGATCAATGGCTTGCAGTAGATCGTCAAATGTTTTAAACGATTGTTTGAAACAGAATTCTCTGTATTTGATATAAGGGGGAAAGCCGAACAGCCGATTCTTTGCTAAATCGTTAGTCAGAATGTCAGATGCTCTCTGGTGCGGTCCTAAGCCTATATTGACTACCTGCAATCAATGAAAAGGGTAAAATTTATTATGTTAGTATTATTAATAATAAAATATACAATAATATCAATGACTTACATCAGGATCTACAATATAGTCAGCCTTCGCTGTACCTTGTCTGAAGTTGCCTTGTGTGACATAATCTATGTTGTCATCAACACCGAAGAAACCAGTTCTTAGAGTAAGATTTACAATAGGGACTTTTCTTAAATAGTGACCTTGAGTATCAAATAATCTGAAAAAAATATTAATAGTAATTTAAGGGAAACCCATAAATATCCAGTTAAATTGTGAAAGAAGTAATTATTAAGTAATAATTAAGGGCCTTCAAGAAAAGAGCATAGAATTTTCTTATAGACCGGCAACGCATCTGCGGTTCTTCTGGTGTTGAGAATGTTCTTGGGCATTGGATCATATAATGATCAATTAAAAAGTATATTTATTACTCACTTCATATCCCCTTCCTGAGTAGTATGAAACCAACGAAGAACAAATGGAAACTCCAATGATATTTGCGGGATAACATTTTCATTGTAGGAATCTCTGAATCCATTTGTGTAAGAAAGAACACCGTCCTTGAGGAGATTTTCATGACCTACACAAGAAAATAAACTGTTCATTTGCAGCTGATGAAAACAAATTAAGAGTGAAATGTTGAATTATTAATGCAACATAGATTCACACTTTGCAAGCTTTCGTGTTTACTTTCAATAGTTCTAAAATCTATTTTAAAGTAAGCAAAATTTGACTAAAGAATTGAATTACCAAATAATGCTGGTAACAATTCGTAATAGAATATTTGCATAACAATAGCAATGTTGATGTCACGCGCTGTATAAAAAAGACTCTCATCATTCCAACATGGGTTGATCTTAGACAATGCAGACGCAATAAAGTTATGCTGTCTCCATAGCCAGATGGTCATCAGATTCACACCAGCTAAGCTGTTAGCGCTATCTTCAGCTAGAAAATAAAATAAAAAAGTTTTAACGAAAATAACTTCGAATGGATATGAACTATAGGATATTTTTATATTTCATAAAATATTGAAGACATTTAATTGTATATAAACACTTTTAATAGAAATAGTTTAACTAACGAGTATCGTGACATCGTCCTTCTTGTGGTATTTGATTCAAAAAACAAAAACCTAATCCAGTCTTAACACTTGGAGGCCAGATTCTCCCTTCTTCCTCTTCGTACTTCAATAAACCACCTTTGAAAAGACGTCCCTTTTCTGATAGTAACTTCAAACTGCTGCTATACACTGGTGATAGATCAAATGTTGGTGTTGATGTTATTATCTGAAACAATGGTTCATTATTTAGCTACGTACATGACTTGTGTGAAGCTATTACCAGTAAATAGTCTATACAGGGTGGTATAAATGTGTAGTCTAAGACTTAATCATATTAAACAAAACAAAATTAAATTTGTTTAACTCATTTACGAAATTCAAGTTAAATTGTTTTAAAATCAAATTGAGCAGCCGCTTTGATTTTCAAATAAAGTGACCTTATCAAGTCATCTTTAACGTTGTTAACCTTACGCGTTTAGTTGCAAAGAAATGTAGCATAACTCACCCTTTCAGGGACAGTGTCGCTTTTAATACAACCAATAGATTGAAAAGATTCAGGTCTCGTCATATTCAAGCATCTTATATCGGAGAAACGATGTACAGGGTCGTCATCGGGTATTTTGTTAGGAACGCAGTCATTATCCGTTTTGCCCTTGGCCAGGCAACAGTAAGGTTTCCATGCGATAAATTTCACTAAAAAGATTTGAATATTGAAAGAAAAAATAGTCGGGTTTTACATAAGACATGGTTTGATTTTTCTCATATTATTTTGCAGACAAATTATGATAGAATTACCTGTATCGTGCAAAGATAAAACATCTGAAGTCATAAAAACTAAAAAATTGGTTGAAAGCGTCGTGAATTTTTGGTCTGGTAGCTTGCCCATAGCAACCAACGTTGTTCTTAGGAACCTCTCAAGCGGCAATGACTGGCCAGACTTTGCTTGTCTTTTTTCAAAATCTGCAATGCAAAAATTATACTTAAAAGATTTATATTTAAAAAGATAAAATAACAACAATTACATAGCTCACGCCTGTAACCCAGATGGGTAGGCAGAGACCACGGAACTCATATCCTATCTATGATATTTCTAGCTCTTACTGGTATTTAATGGAAATTTTAATAACAAATTAGAACATGTACTAATTACATTCTAATTAAGTTCCTAAAACAATACCTCAAGGTTCAATTTCCAAGAGTACACGTCAGTTACTTGGAAGTAAGCGGTCAGGAGCCGTGAACATGTTAAATTGTTTCCGCTATAATTGAGCTCGATAATTGTAATAAAGTAAAAAAAAATTCCTACTTTAAATTATTCCAAATTATATTTATGTAAGGTCAACATAACCGTTTCTTTACTGTACCGTAACACTCTTAAAACGTATAGTTCTTTCTATAAAATAATGTCTGTATTACTTCGAAAATTAACTTCAGACTAACATTCCTCTAAAAATTGCTATTTGCTAATGCCAAGTAACTTACTTTTAGCATAAACAGCTGGAAGTAGTCTATAAGTTGGCGTATGTGATGCGCCCCGGGTAGGCTGGTGCAGGTTGTTACAGGAGCCGTCCACACGCCGCCACTCATCAGCTACACACGGCTCTATCTGGTTTATGCACCAACTAAAAATATGCAAATACCAATAAGTAACCACCAATGAAACTAAACAGAGATTATTCTGTTGGTGCATACAGATATTAATTTTATTAGCCGCATATTTATGTATTTACGTTTGAATAAGTACTAAAAGTATTCGCACTTAAATAAAGTTTGTGCTTTCCTTTTTATAACGAAATAAAAAGTCAAGCAATTTAGATTAAGCAAAAAAATATGTGTATTCGTTCTTGAAAGCACACACATATTTTTTGTCATCTTGATATTAATGCTTGCATTACTAATAAGTGTATCTATTGACCACAATAAGTGAAAATATAAAGTGACCGAAATCTATTGAACTAAAACTTACAACGTATTATTCTGCTTATCATGTTTCTTAACTTCTTCCAGATTAACAGGCGTTCCCGAGTACGAGTCATAGTACACAGTATGCCCAAAGTTAACATAACAAATAATTATAAATACACAAATTAAATAATTTGACATTCTTATCCAAAGTTACTTAATTATCTGAATTGTGTTTTAAGCCACAGAACACTTCAATTGTTAACTATACGAATGTTAAATTACAAATGGTACGGTCTTAAAGCATGTTATGTATATAAACGAAGGCTCTATACGGTTACTTGTGTTTCAATAGAAAAAAACAAAGACAGCCAAAAGTAACTAGAAACATCCATTTTTTTAAGACACTCAGCAAGTAGTTAATAATTGAAAAAAAAAAATACTAAAAAATGTTTTACAAAGGTTAAAAAAAAAATGTGATAGGTGGAGAATATGAATTTCTTCGACGCATTTCTAGCTCACCTATATCCCTTTTTAGTACCACCTAAGTAGTTTAGCAGTCGCACTTAGAGTCTTTAAGTGGTCACCTTAATTTAAGATATCTACAGTAAGAGTTAATGACCTATTAACGAATCTGAATGAAGCATAAAGAGATAAGTAGTTATAATGCCGAATAACCGTTCGTATTAACAATGATTTCGCTGTAGTCTCATTGCTTTAAGCATAAGTGTAATATGAAGAGAACAAGCTAACGCTTTGAGTCACATTTATAACAGTTCATTAACGAAGAGCTTTAGATCCTCGCTCTGATGACGTTTCGTAACGATCTGAGAAATTATTTAAAACAAATGAAAGCTCTTGTGTTGCTTCAAATGCGACGTTTTTTGTTCCCTTAAATTATATATATTTTTTCCTACACTTTGTTATGAACTTCAAAGGAATTTCTTTTATGTTATTTATTTAATTTACTGGTAAATTGTCCTCTGTTACGGTTGTCTACTCTTTTATTTGAATTCTTTGTAAAACCGGAACATGCATTTCCTGTTTGTTTTTATGACTACATCAATTTTAAAATATATCAAAAATATAGTAAGTAACCTTTTCAGGAAAATAGTGACGTAAATTAGTACTTTGTAATAAATCTATACACATTTCATCATCATCAGCTCACTATACGTCCCCACCGAGGGCCTCGGAGCCTACCCTAAGTTAAGAGTGATTAGGCCATAGTCAACCACGCTGGCCAAGTGCGGGTTGGTTGACTTCACACATATCTTTGAATTACTTCTCAGATATGTGCAGGTTGCATCACGATGTTTTCCTATACACATTTAGTAGTGTTTAATTTTCGCGTTTAATACAATGGAAAGGCGGGAGCGAATAACTGTTGAAAATATTTAAAATGTTTTAATAACGAAAAAATGTTAGTTTAAACTGTATACAATTAACAAAATCAACTTTGTATACAAGAAATCATTGTATTTTCAAACTTATATCGTAAACACGATACTTATCGATAGAAATTTTTAAATTTTCTCTTGCTTTACGAAAGATTTTATATTAAATTGCTTTGATATCAATTTTGATAAATGGTTAGCCAATACGATGACTCGCCAGTCGCCAGTCGCCGCAGCAGCTATCATTTTTCATGGCTTATTACATTTATCGGGCAACTTATCTGGGGAAGCTTCGCGTTAATATAATTCTTTAAGTGCCAAACTTTTTTCTTTGTGCCAAATGCCATTAGAAAATTGGTATCTGTCGATAAAGTTGTTTTGATCAGAATATATGCTCGTCGTTAACAAAGAGTTCGCCAGCTTTTGACAAACAATGTTGAAGTTTGTGGAGAATTTGTTATTGAGCTGATCTCATTTAGACTAATCGCTTTATTGTTAAAGAAGAAAAATATTCTTCTTATTTTATTTGTTCCTTCAACATCTTACTAATTAATACGAATGTATGGATGGATGTTTGTATGTTTGTTTGTATGATGTCGCTTATATTTGGCATAGATGTGAGACATAGTATTGAAGAATACATAGTCTACTAATTAAGTCGGGGGAGGCCACTAGTGATTACATATTTGTAAATTTACAGAGAAAGGTGTCAATAAAATTATTTGTTAGTATGAAAAACTGCGGACGTCAGAATTATGTAGAAGCTGTAACGAAATAAATTAAATGATGCTTATAAAAGCAAAGAGGTCGTAAGTCACGCAATAACTCTCATACCCTAATAACTATGAGGAGAGACTTTCCATCTGACTTAGCAATATTGTAGTTTGTCCAAACACTTGTGATGCAATAACTCGCACGTGTCGCCTCGTATCTCAATTTGATCGCCACTTATTGCCCTACCAACACCAATTTATTCAATCCAAAGAAGGTCTTATTCCAAAAGTAATAAAGGTGTTATTTTCTTGAAAGCAATTGAGTACTATTTGATTTTTTCGTAAGTATGTTATTCGATAGATGAATTAATATAGCATGAATGTGACAAGTTGTTGGCTTTCGTACTCTAGTGAGTCTCAATGAACAGTTCGATTCACTAGTTACTACTCACAAACATTGAGAAGTTTTCTACTCATTGACCATCATCACTCTATCTTACTAATATTATACATGAATTCGAATGTTTAGATGGATAGATGGATGTTTGTTTGACGGTATCTTCTTAGTCTGGAAGAACACATAGGATAAGTGAAGGGGCCAAACGAACAGCGAAACTCGATGTGTTCATCGATGCCCATGGACATCTGTAATACTAGATGAATTACAGATGCGTTAACGGCCTTTGAGATGGTGATACGATCGATTCTTGAAGGACCCTAAGATGTAACTGTTTGGTAAAAATGCCAAGGACAGACCATTCCAAAACGCGGCTGTGTGAATTTTACAGATAGGTTATTTATTAAGCTTCTTTTAAGACGGAGTCTCGGGCGATAGCTAGTCAATCTGAATTCAATAACATAGGCAATAATTTAAATGATAATAATTATAACCTTGACAAATGAATTAATTTAAGTCAAGTTCAAGCATCTTTTTACTTAATCCTTAGTTAATAAATTCTAAACGTCAGAAACAATTTAATAATTAATTAAAATAAAAGGAAGCAAGTTTTTTTATGTACTAACATATCTTACTTTAATATTTAACATTAAGGCAAATAACCTTTTGTATAAATTAACAAACCGTAGAAGGTCATTCACTGAAATGCTCAAAAGAATCTCCAATGCTTTAGTATTAAACGCGTATATTTATGCCGACACTCGTTTTTATGACTAGATCAGTCAACCGTGGCGACTCACGTAAAATGTCTAACATCTTACTGAAATTTTGGATGCAAATTTTTAAGGTTTTACCGCTTTTTTGAAATAAATGTAAAATGACAAGAACCTATTGGCCTAATACTGTGAATGAATAAATACATTTTTAGTTATTCAATTGTGTCGATTTTAATACGAAATCTGTATCACAATAATTTAAGAAGTATATTTATTATGATTTCAATTAGTGTCTTGAAAAAATGTTTATACAAAGTCTCGTAAAAATAATAAAATTAAACTTGTTTGTATGCATAATTACATATATCACAGTCTAACTATTCTACACACGATAATCAAAATTAATTACATGCATAGGGGCAAATTGTCTCATTAGGCAATTTACATCGCACGGTACGGCACAATAGCTTGTAATGGTCAATTATTGCAATAACTAATTGAGTAATTCCTCAGCGATCGATGGATAATTGCCATCAAGCTAAACATGTTGAAAGATCACGTATAAAAGGTGAAAATAATTGTCGTTAACATCTCTAAAGTACTATAACAGTGGTAGAGCCCGCTTTAACATCTTCGCAGGAATTGGCCCGGCTTGCCCGGTGAAATACCACGACCACACAGAAGACAGGCGTGAAGTGGAAGCAATTCGTTTCGTTTTCGTCTTATGAGTGTGTCCCGGAATCCTAGTTTAGTCCTCTTTCCCTTCCCACCCTTTTTCTTATAAGAAAAGGATGGGAAGTGTAAGTGGACTTTCCGGATGAGAGGATGCATGGGAAAGGAAAATATTTTCTTTCTGTGCATCCTCTCCTCCGTAGATTGAAGGTAGGCAACGCATGTGCAATTGCGTATGTCTATAGGCAATAGTCACTTTGCTGTTTCGGCGATTTCAGGTGGCCGCTCGCTCGTTTGCCACCTTATGTTATAAAAAAAACTTAAGTAAGTATAGCACACCTATATGTATATCCAAAATATTGTTACAGTAAGTCCCAATTTAGGCGTCACAAGATGCTCTGATCAATCCAAATTGGCAAAGATTAAAATGAATGTTATAAAAGGATATTTTGTCCAGAATTAACAATTTACTGATCCGTTTAAAAAATGCTTTAGTCTTTACAATTTTTCTGTCTTTATAAAGGTGAATCAGGTTTCTTAGTATGTAATAAAACTAACAGTGATGAAATCAAAAGCTTAGACTGGTGTGATTCAATACAAAGGTGAAATACAATTTCAATTAATTTGTAGATGTATTAATTTACCATTTGCGGTTTCTTGTGACAAAATCAGGCTTTGAACAATATAATGTATTGATTACATCGTTTCTAAACGACCACAGACTATTAACATTTATAATATCTTGTAAAACATTGTAACACTTACGTATATAATTTATCTTTTCATAATTTTATGCATGATAAAACACATTTATTGTGGATTTCGGAGACCTATCTGTCTGACTCTATAAAACGTATCTTCATCCCTGTCATCTTTTACAACAAATATATATGATTTGAATGGAGATTTCAGACTCAGAAACCCACAGTTATTAGTGTAGGAATCACAGATTTTTACTAAACCACCTTTAAATTAATACTATCCTAAACTATATGATTTTATTTTTGGAATTTGTTTATTCATTGACGTAATATTAGTAGAATTGTTTCTAAAAGTAACTTAATTCCTTCCTGTCTTCCCCCAGGTTCGTAATTCTTCTGTTGGCTGAATAACTGCGCTGAAATAACCATAATATCAGACAGAGCAAACACGGGCGACCGCAGGGTAGATTGAAATGTTTGTCGCGTCATTTGGACGAAATGTAGTGTAAGGTCAAATGGTCCGTGCCCGCTTTGAGTCCGGTCGGCCGGACGTCCCTGTTTCCCGCCATATTACACATTACAGATCATAAGAATGGTGAATTTTAAAAAGTTCGCCATGTAACATAACGTACTTAAAATTAAATCTATGAAATATAAAAGTCAATGAAACTTA